GCAGACGACCAATCCAGCGAGAGAACTGGGTCAAGGTCAAGGTCAAGGTCAAGGTCAAGGTCATAGGTCACACCGTCAGCACACCACGTGGTGAGCGCAAAATCGGGGACCGCCGGTGCACGTGCGGTGCATAGAGGTCAAATTCTGACGTTTGATTCTACAACTCAAGGGAGATGAAGAGATGTGCCTGACACTCAAACGCGCTTCCATTTGAGGGCTTTAAATCGCCGAGCAAAACGCGTGCTGCCAGCCCACAGTGTCATAAATCATCCAGTTTGGGATGACACGACCAAGCGCCAAGTCACCCACGATATCAAAGCCAGTTAATTCACGGATAAAAAAAAAACTATTATCGGACCGGTAAAGCGACTCTATCGCCGACTGACTTAGACACTTAGAGAAAACGCCGATGATATCACTCCTTCCCAAGCCTGCGACATCGGAGACACCACACTGGCTCCTCTGACGTCATCAGTCACTTACAGCCCACTTCACAAATCGCCGGCCCAAATGAACTTATTCCAGCTGCTTGATTCGATTCGTGTCAATTGACGTTTCCATCCCTAATGCGGAGCGTTAGGAGTAGACATCTTCGCCTGATGTGTCAATCAGCCGACAGCGGAGGCAACGCGAGAATCAACCGGGGTCTGCGACCTGACCTGACACGGACATTTCTATGACATCCTTTCTATGACACCCTGACAAAGTTGCTTTGAAATACATGCACAATTAATGAAGGGAATGCATCTTTCACTAGACCACAGGTGTCGCGCTGCTGCTAACACTTAAGCCCTTCTCCAACAACAGCGCGCCTGCATAATGATTTCCAACCGCACAAAGCACCTGATCAAACGTTCACATAGCCGAACGGCAAACGCTTCGCCAGCAGCGATAACTTCTAGGCGCGGATCAACGATAGCTTCACGACAGGGTTGCCGTGAGAAACGAACGGATGCGGATGAGTTGGACGAGATTTTTCATTTCTATGAGAAGCAGGGCGTTAGAACGAATGGCCCACTTCTCCGACATTAAGTAAACGGAGACTCTGTTGTGCAAAGGCGGAGAATCACATGACTGTTGCCAAAGTAATAATAAGTTAAATTTTTATAACACTTATACAGACACACATATATATATATATATATATATATATATATATATAGTAATAGTATAATAGTCAAGTTATATAATAAGTTAAAGTTATTAAAAATATCGCTGCTCACTTGCATGTACACGATGCATGCACAGCACGCACTGATCCTGCATGATCGTGTCTCGCACTGTGCGCATCACTGGTCCTGTTACTGTGTGCGCGTGCGTCATTGGAGCTTTACGACGCACTCAGTTGCTGAGGCTGTATGGCGTCGCCTGCCTCTCACCCTGGCAGGAAGGGCGGGCACCGCGGGGAATCCAACATTACTGTGTGCGCGTTTGGTGTGTTTCCTCTTTGTTAATACGAAGACGCTTGGTACCGCCACCAGCAACTTATTCTGAAAGCCCATCTAAAAATCCGTGCGCTTTTTAGGCGCTACTCCACCCCCAGGCAACCTGGTCACGCCCGCGGGGAAAAACACCTTCCCTTACTACGCTTTGTTAAGCGCGAGATCCCAAAAGGTGAAGTGCGTGTGGCATATCACTGACAGCATGTTTGTCATCGCACCCACGCTTCACGTTACGCTGTACACCCCTTCTCTTAAGATGTTCGCGCGGATATGGCCTCATACAAACTCAATTGGGTAAAATCAAAGCCAGTGACGACGGATATCGCGCGAAGATTCGAAGTCAATGCATGAAGGTCGCATGAAGGTCGCGTACGAAGTACAGAGCGCACAGTACCCAAGTTAGTGAATCACAATAAACATCATCCGTGGGGAGCCCATCGGTAATTTTTTAAAGATATTTTTAGATAGTTTTATTTAGGCAATCAGAAACACGTACACACAATCCATACACGACAGAGCAGCATTCAAGCTCACGCACGATATGACCACGCACACACACACACACCTCTCCTCTTGCCTTCTTTCTTTCGTGCGCACGCACGTCTTCATCGCAACTTCGGTGTGCCGAGGTCCATTCGGGCTCCCGACCGTCCGCCCTTCCCACGTTCGCGGGACGCAGCGGCGCCCGTTACAGCAGCGGAACTCCACGGCCCACGCACCCAGCGGGCCGGCCGAGTAAAGAAGCCGCTCTCCCCCCCCCCCCCCCCCCCCTTACCCTCTCCCACACGCACCACTTCAACGGCCCGGCCTCACGCACGACGGCACGCGGCCGGCACCACCCCTCCACCCCCGCCCATCTGCTCGCGATGGATTCGGCCTCGCACCGCTACCGGTGACGTCACTGACATGCTGACGTCATCGGGAGCGTGCTGGAGCGCCACGGGCGCGGGGGCACGGCGCAGCCAGCTCACCGGTGGCCCTTACCGGCGCCGGCCCGGAGCAGCCCGAGGGGAGGGGCACGGGGACAAAAAACAGCGGAGTGGAAGTGTGTCGTGTGTCAAGATGACACTAATAAACTGGGGGCCTGGTGCCAGCTCGTCTCAGCTGAAGTTCTTAAACGTCGCCAAGAAAGCTAAATGCCCGTCGGTTTTAGCGCCCACCTTGGCACCTGCCAGCGTTTACCCTACCACTGAAGACTAAATCACTGTAGCACATCGTGACAGGGGCCCGATGATCCAGCATGAACCAAACACACCTGAAGTGATGCACCTGACCCCACTCGAGCAACCCGACCGGACCGGACCAGACCAGACCCGACCCGGCCACGGACTGACCTGGCGATGACGTAATAGCCGAGGGCGGCCGCCGAGCTGAGCGTGGCCAGGCCGGCGAAGGTGGCCACAGCCCCGACCAGGGAGAAGGCGGCGCCGGCCACCAGCACGCCCACGCACCGCCCGGCCGTGTACAGGCCGTCCAGCACCCGGAGCGTGGCCCGCTCCTGACCTGAGATCACCGGGTCAGGGTCACCGGCCAGCAGCACGTTTACAGGAGCGTGGCCCGCTCCTGACCTGGGGTCACCGGTCAGCGACACGATCACTAGCGCGTGGCACGCTCCTGACCTGGCGTCGCAGAGTCAGATGTCACCGGTCAGCAGCACGATTACTAGAGCGTGCTGCTGACCTAGTATCAACGGGTTAGGGGCATCGGTCAACAGCACGCTTACCAGGGCTTGACCTGCTCCAAACCTGGGGTCACAGGATCAGGTTAGGGGTGCAGCTCAACTGTCTGGCAGGTTCGCAAATTGCTTCTGACCTTGGGTCAGGCCAGGGTCACCAGTCAACATAACAGCAGATAGCAGGGCCAGCTACTGACCAGAGGTCACGGGCTCATGTCAAGGTCACTGAACAAAAGTATCACCAGCTGAGCCAAAGTGTATCACCAAGAGCAGAACCTACTCCTGCCCTGCTGCCACATGGCCAAGTCAGGATCATCACACAACACTCCAGCACCAGGAGAGAGTAGAGTCCGTAGCTCCCTTCTGCAAACACATCTCTCCACAGGATGACCTCGCCCCCCCCCCCCCCCCCCACTTACCGGGCCACAAGTCCAGCCGAGCCCAGGACCCGACCCTAACCCTCTGGTGGCCAGCTGTAAGCGCGCGCCTTCCACACAACAGCACCAACCGCTCCCTCCCCCCCCCCCCCCACCCCACCCCACCCCACCCGAACACCCTGGCCGAGACCGCGTACGTTCGTCGTACGTTCCACAGAGCCGTACGTCCGCACCCTCGGCGACGGAGCCGGCTTCACGTTAGTAGCCAACCTGGTATCCTGGTGAGGACTGGCCTGACTGTAGCGGTTATAGCCGAGGACCTTAGCGGCGGTCGGTCTTATTGAAGGCTGGCTCTGGTCAGAGCCAGCCTCACTGAAACCTTCGCTCCCAAATGCCTATCACGAAGTCGGTTTCACTGGACCCGATCTGCGCCAGCTGACATCCCGGCGGCAGGGGATGATGGATGATGGATGATGATGATGATGAGGATGATGAGGGATGATGACTGTAGGGGCCATACTACAATATCGAAAGCCAGCTCACCGTGGTGGGCCGTCTTATCGACGAACACGTGGACGGCGCACCACAGCAGGGTCTCGGTCAGCCCCACCAACGGCTGGGCCGGAAGCAGCCCCCAGGCGGCCGGCAGGCCCAGGTAACAGAGACATCTGACGGTCAGCGCCGAGAACGCCAGTACCTGCGGCGGCCGACAGATGGTGTCACAGATGCGCGCGGGGAAGCGGGCTGTATAAAACGGACGCAACTTCCACAACTATCTACAATTACTGAAAAAGTGATATTCAGATCTTCCAACCATGTAATCAGATTACACCTAGTTCTGCCAAGAACAATAACTACGAACTGTTCAATGTTTCAACGCGCATGCAGACACATACACGCACACGTGCTCCAAAGCACGATCGGTCCAGCCGACGAGTCCTCACCACGGTGCCGACGAAGCCGAGCCGGATCATCAGCGGCCGGTGCAAGGCGCGCACGGGCAACCGCGACGCTAGCGCCACGGCGGCCGCCAGCACAAGCACAAACGTCGGCTGCGGCCGCCCGGCGGCGGCGTACGGCAGCACGAAGTTGAACTCGGCTGACGTCATCAGGCCGATGCTAAACACGGCGCTGGTGAACAGCACAGAGCTGCGGCACGAGCTGGGGACGGGGTGCACAGTGCTGATGAACAGGACAGAGCTGGGGCACGAGCTGGGGACGGAGTGCACAGTGCTGGTGAACAGCACAGAGCTGCGACACGAGCTGGGGACGGGGTGCACGACGCTGGTGAACAGCACATAGATGCCTTTGGACTGGGACGGAGTGTCTTGAAAGTGGTGATGGGCGGTCGCACACGTTGCACGGCGGATAGCGACGAATATTTTGCTGGCCCACGCGTGCCGCGTTGCAGCAACAGCACACACGCCAGAGCACGGCTTATCCTTGAGCCCTTAATCGCTGAGAGTTGATGATATTTGTTCTGGCGACAACCACGTAACTCCGAACCGAAGTCATCGTTGAACGTTGGGGCGTACACATGAACGGCTATCACATGCGGATCACCAGTCACTGATCGTCGACCTTCCACGCGGACGTCGATTCCCTCCCAGGCAGAACTGACCGGAGCGAGCGGAGAGCAGCGCCGGGCCGATGCGGCGCCGTCTTCCCGCCGGCCAGCGGCAGCCAGGGCAGCAGCGCGGCGGCGGCCAGCGCCAGCGCCGCGCCCAGCACCAGCAGCGGCGCCAGCAGGCCGCGGTCGACGGCGCAGTCGGGCAGCGCGGCGGCGGCGGCCGCCAGCAGCAGCGCCGACGTCGCCTCTGCGGCCGGCGCCGGCCGCCCTGCGCGCTCCAGGTGCTCAGCCTCGTCGAGCGACCGCCGCCAGCAGCGCGCCACCAGGCGGCGGTGCGGCGCGCCGACCAACGCCCACACCGACAGCAGGCCCAGGCTGACGAGGAAGAGCAGGTCGGGCGGCAGCAGCGCGCCCGGCGCCTCCGCCGGCTCGCGGCGCTCCCGGGTGGGGCTCCCCGCCGCCTGGGACGTGATGACGTCACGGGGCGGGGCTGCGGTGTCCAGCGCGACCGGCTCCGGCTTGGGCGCGGCGACGTCAGGCGGCGGCGGAGCCCGGCCGGCGTGCCGGCGCGGCTCGTGTCGCGCCGACCGGGAGCCGTTCCGCGCCGGAGAGGGCAATCTCAGGTTCACGACTCCTCCGCCTCTGGCAGCTGCATCAAGAGCGCGCAGGTGGCTTGCTTCACTCGGGGCAGAGTCCGTACCGTCACGCATACTGCTGCCCGTGGCAATGACGCGCCGTCGTGGTACGTCACGGTTTATCTCCAGCGCAGTCACACTCCGCCTGACCCTCCTGCCCCTCCTCCGCCGGCGGTGGGCGGCGGACGCCGCGCGCCTGCGGCCGCGAGCCCGGCGCCGCGCCACGCCCCGCCGCCGCACCGGCGACGCGCGGTGAGCCGGCGGCCCACCAGTCGGCGCCGACAGCAGCCGGTTCAGCGTCGGCGACAGCTTTTCCAGACGCCGCAGCGCCGCCGACAGGCTCCAGCCGCGCGGCTGGTCAGTCACCGTCGCCTCCTCCGGCACTGGCGCGCTCGCGACGCGCGAGCGATGGCGGGAGACGTGGCCGGAGCTCGGCCTCGAGCCGGGCGCCCGATTGAGGACCGCCTCCTCATCGAAAGCCGGGATAGCGGTGAGGAAGCGCTCTCGGTCCACCGCCGCCAACGCATCCGGCTGCGGCTCTTCCCTTAGGGACCAGCCGCTCGGGTCCACCAGCCTCAGCCGACCACGTGACCCGACGGCACCCGGCGGGCCGCGCGGCCCGCCCGGACCACGTGGCCGCTGTCGAACCGCCAACGCCGGCTTCCGGCCCCGTGACACGCCCTTCGGCGGCAGCGGCCTCCGGACCGGCGGCCCGCGGAGCGGCGACGACGGCGGGCCGCCCGCGGCCGTGCCGCACACTACCACGCCGCCCGGGTGCTTGAGCGGGTCCCAGGGCACCTCGAGCTCCGAGGCGGGCACGCACAGCCGGCCGTCGCTCGCCGCCGGCCGCCCGCCGCCGGGCAGGACCAAGTCCGGCAGCGGCTTTGCGGCGCCGCTGGCGGCCGGCCGGCGGCCGTGCGGGTGGGAGGCACCGCTGCTGGGACGGTGGGGGAGTGGGTGGCCGGGGCGACCCTGCTCCGCCCCGGCCCCCGCGAGCACGGGCTCGACCTGGCCAGGACGGCGATGACTAGACGCTTCCACTTCTTGTTCCTTACCGCGTTGGCGAGAGTTTTGGTTCGCATGACTAGATTGTTGCTGAGTAATACTCGCGTGGCTGAGGCCACCAGCCGCCTGTCGGTGCGGCGGCGTCGCCTGACCGCCCTGCCCGCTCACAGCGGGGAGCGCCCCCGCCGCACCCTGCGCCCCCTGGTGAGGCCGGAGGCGGTGGTGAGGCCGCCCACCGCCGGCGGCAGCGGGCCGGGGCCGCGGCGACGCGACGGGCGGCGTGAGCGCACCGGTCGCCTCCTCCGAGCCAGCTGCGGCGCCAGACGCCTGATGAGGAGCCGCCGGACGCGCCACGTGGTGAGCGCCGGGCCAGCTCCAGCCGAGGAGCGGGTCCGATGACTCAGCAGTGGCGGCTGACCCGGACGCCTCTTCACTGGAGTGAGGCACATGTTCCACAGCCGTCTGCGATGTGATGACCGCAGGAGGTCCGGCAGCGTCGGTCACGACCTCATGATGCGGCCACGCCCAGCTGACCGCCGCGCCATCTGGAGCCTCGCCCGAAAACTCAGGCGGCCGCAGGTTCGCCGCCGACGAGCCGGCAGCAAGATGACTACTCGCCGGCGGCGGCTGGGCGCCGGCGGTTTGAGAGCCACCGGCGGTCGACTCGAGACCCGAGCCCTCCGACGATCCGTGGACGATGTCCGGGCCTGTCAGACCGGTGACCGCGACTGGCTCACCCCCGACAGAGGTCTGCCCGGAGAGACCGCCGCCGCCGGCCGGCGCCTTGCCCTCGACACCGGCCGTCTCCGTGTTTGGCCTCTGGTCCGGCCTCTGCCCCGGCTTCTGCTCCGGTCTCAGGCCCGGTTTTTGGCCCGGCCTCTCCTTGGGCTTCTGGTTCGGCCGGGGCCCATACGGCAGCCGGTCCGGGGGCCCGGTGGGACCGACGCCGGCCGATGCGGGACCCGGGTTCCTCGTGCCGCCGGTCGGCTCGACCGGGCCCGTTGGGGCGGGCCCCACTGGCTCCGTCGTGGAGTTCGGCGCAGACCCCGACCCATCGCTGGTACCAGTGACTACTGGCTGGATGTGATGGGTCATCTCCCCATCACCTGGTCCAACGTGATCAATGTTTCCAGTCGCTGCTGGTCGGCCATGTTCGTTGCTTTCACTCGCCGGTAGACCCCCGTGGTCACTGCTCTCGCTGGTTAGCGGTGGGCCGTGGTGTTTCGTTTCGCTGTGTCCTGGTCGGTTGAGGTCCCCAGTATCACTAGACACCGGTCGTTTATGTTCGCTGGTCTCGCTGTGCACCGGTAGTTCATGTTCGCTGGTCTCGCTATGCACAGGTCGTTCATGTTCGCTGGTCTCGCTGTGCACTGGTCGTTTATGTTCGCCACTCTCGCTGGACGCCGGCCGTATTCGCTCGCTCTCTCCCGGTCGCTTGTCCTGACCCGTCTGACTAGGCCGCACATGCGCGACCCCCGTACCACCCCCACTCACCGCCGTCAACCCATGCCGACTTCCGCCTCCCTCCGTCGTCCACTGTCCCAGCTCCTGCACCCCGGTGCCGGCCGGCAGCAGCGGCGGCGACGCGGGGGAGCCGCAGCCGGCGCGCGGCGGCAGCGCCGCCAGCGCGCACAGCACCGCCGCCGTGACCAGCGCGCCGGCGGCGGCCGCCAGGCGGCGGCGGCGCGGCCGCGGCTCGGCGTGCAGCGCGCGCCACCAGAGCGCGCCGCCGACGCCGCGCAGCATCAGCAGCGTGGCGACGGCCAGCCCGGCCTGCAGCGGCGTCACGCCCAGCTGTGTGAGGTGCAGGCAGAGGAAGGGCAGCGCGCAGCTCTCAGCAGCGCCGCTCAGGCAGAGGAAGGCCGTCACCAGACGCTCGGCGCGACGGAAGTGCATGGTGGAGACAGTAGTGATGCTGGTGAGTGGTGATGGTGGTGGTGAGCAGCAGCAGGTACTGGAAGCAAAAACATATCCAGTGACTGGTGAATAGCAACATGGCAGCATAGTATGTCATCTACAGGATGCAGTCACAGGAAATGTGATTTAGGGTGGTAGCCAGGCCACAGCAGTGCAAGTGGAAAGTTTTTGGAGCTTTCTGGGGAATTGGGGAAAAAATGGGAGCAGCTTTTTTGCAGTACTTTCACATTTGTTCATGCCAAAATTTGTTGGCGGTCTGGGAGAGTGGTCTCTACAAAGCACAATACATCTACAGCCCAAGTAAATGATGCCTGGTGTGGTGGTGGAACTGGTGTCCAAATTTAGTATTCCATGACTTAAGCTGATAGAACTTTGCAATCAGAAGTAGTCCTTAGTATAGCTTAAATTTTGTTACATGCCATAAACATTCAAAAAGCTAAGTTTATGCTGTCTTTAAGCATTAATTTTTCTGGGATAAGAGATCTGACTAGTTCTTCATTTCAGCCCCATCTATTTCCCAACTTGCCTCATGAAATTTCATGAGTGGCATTTCATTCCATTGTCTTTTTCAGTAGGGTGTAGTCTTACCACTTATTTTCTGAGTGCTATATACCATTACACAAAATGCAATATTCAGCTATCCAAGCATCTTCACAATGGTGGTCATTCTCACCAGTTACAAAACCAAGGTCAACACCCCAAGAACCATGATCATAAGGCTTGAGAAAAAAATGGAATGACAGGTTTTCCAATGCTATTGGTATGGCAGGAAAGATGCCACAGTGTGTGAATTTCATGCATATCAGTCAGACCTGTTTTCAACATCAAAACATATTTTGATGAGGAGACAAGGTAAAGTGCACAATACAAACACAGTTTGAGCTAGAGAAGAAAAACAGGAAATCTTTGACATCCTCTTATTATCATGTCTGTCTAGGCCAAACAGCAAAAATTCCGCACTTTCCTAAATCCACCGCTCGAATTTTTCCACATCACGGATAAAACAGCGCACAACATGCGGGTCGGCGACAGTGACGGGCATGCTTGGGAACGCATCACAGTCATTTGTTCACCTACCAACAAAACTCACCAGCCTTGAACCGATAAAACAATCAGCCGGCTCGTCTAGTTCCAGCACGACCCATCCAAACGTCGCGCCCTTTCCAGGCTTCGTAGCACCCGCTCATTCCAGCACAACCATGGAACGACGATCCTTGCGCACCACTGCGCCAGCGACTTGTTTACACTGTATCAGCTGATTTCAGTGGCTCTCAAACAAAGTTAGCAAGGGCGCAAAGTCCAGTGGAACTGTACCACGGCAGTCCGAGAAAGAAAATGTCCCCAAGATTTGACAGAAGCACGCCACCTTACCCTGGCGCACGCCCACAATTGTTCCTTGTTATTCATACGGAAAACGCAAGACCCCATGCAGTCAAACGTGGTGTGTCACATACCATGCATACGAGCTTCTGTTGCCTTGTATGTTACATACTCGGGAAAGTCAGGCGAAAGGGAACGTAGCACGCCACTACTAAAATCCAGACGCGAGAGAGAGAGGAGCCTTGGGCCAGTGGCTTACAACCTGTTTTTAGGGGACAAGGAATTTATGTGCATTTTCCGCGCATTACAAGATTTCACTGTAATTTCCTCTTGGGGGGAAGGGGGGGGGGGAACACAACTAACTTATTTCCCCCCCCCCCCCCGACAGCAGTTCATTCGATAGTCCTCCGCAGCTGATCTGCTATAAAACGCTCAATAAGTCTATGCATCCGTTCAGTAGAACGCGCAAGGTAGTGTCATGAACGCCCATTCTCCAATCACTCCCGCCGTCCAAAAGGAAATCACTTCACTTCCAAAAATCATGTATTCGGCCCCTCCACAATGGGCCCGATGAAACCGGGCTGAGACGAACATGACATGACATCGATGAATGGCAGTTACAACGGCAAGCTGTACCCAAACGGCGGGCCCGACACACCCGCCGCGCACCCGCCATGACCGGAGGTCAAGCACCCGTCGCCGACTGTCCAAGCGCCACGCATTCCGGACGGCACTCGAGTACACTCGCGCACTTGTCTGGAGTTGGCGCCGAGCGGCAGTTGGAAACTGATACTGCGGCCCACCCGCATTTTGCATTTGTTGATGGGAAGACATCGATGCATTTACGGAAGATGTTCCACTTGCCCGGCGCAACGCTACGAAAACAACTTCAGCAACTACAAGCGATACAGTAAAAACAGCTGATGGCATTTCTTACGGACATTTGTGACGTCACACGCGGAAAGGTCTCCATGGTGCTGAAATCTGACCAACGTTGGAGGCCGTCCAGCCCGCGGAAAACAAAGGATGCCGCCCGACGTGATATCACCCACCACAGACTGGTGGTCTGTTTGGAGACCACTGACAGCCTAGCCGGAGTTCTTCATTTGGGCCATGACGACGCAGCCCAGGTCCATGATCTGCAGGTACTCGTCGGCGCCATCTTGGAGCCGGGAGTCACACAGCTGTGCGAACACAAGGCGAGAGTCACATCAGGGGAGATGTGCTGATAACCAGTTATTGATTTCATCTGTTCCAAGTGCTGGGGCTTTGCTGTTATATATGCTTTAGGGCACGCTGATTGCATTGATCAACAAACACCCAGTGCATCAAATACCCAAAGCTTAAGCTTAAGCTATTTTACTATCATGATGCAAATCATCTCAGAAATGTTACGGATTTACATGTCTGATGTTTCATGTAATACTCAGTGGAAAGTAGATAGGAGCCACAGCCAATGGGGGTTTCAGGATCTTCGGTACGTCCACCAGGCACAAGCCGCTCCCACGAGTCCCCGCAGCGCCACAAGGTCTCTGGTGACCCATCGGTCCCACAGGTTCCCACAGCGCCAGACGGTCTGACGACCCATCGGTCCCACGGGTCCCCACAGCGTCAGACAGTTTGATGACCCATCGGTCCCACGGGCTCCCACAGCGCCAGAAAGCCTCTGATGTCCCATCTCTCCCACGGGTCCACGCAGCGCAAGACGGTCCCTGACATCCCATCTCTCCCACGGGTCCCCGCAGCGCGGGCGGCGTCGGGCTTCACTCACGGCCAGCCTCTCCAGGATGATGGCCTTGCCCAGGTCCGGCACGTCCTCCAGTCTGATCAGCTTATCCATCAGCTGCACCAGCAACTGCCCGCACAGAGACGGAGACGCCCGACGTCAACATCATAGCAGCACACTTGGGCTTTACCGGGCGACAAAATGTGCCTCTGAATGTAGCCAAAAACGATTCACCGCAATGTTATACGTTGTGATAAGTGTGACATGATTACCTGCGACTTTTAACGCAAAGGTACGATTCCGTGTTTTTAATGCAACAATTTGCCAGCACACGATGCAATATCACAACAATAAAATATGACGAAAAAAAAACAAAAATAATGAAGTGGTTTTATAGAAGGTGACACACAATTGATAATTCAATCTAGCTGCATCATGGAATCTACGGCCAGCACTGTGTCTAGTCTGCACCCTTTCCTGGACCGGAAAATAACATCAGCGTGGCCACTGACATGAAGCCTGTCCACTCTCACACTCACATCCCTGCTTCACCACGCGAACGCAGACCTCAGCGATGCTGGCCGGTCTGACCCGGGCGGGGTGTCAGTCATACCCCGTGACTGACCTGGGCGGCGGCGCACCGCTCCCGGTAAGACCCGGGCGGGTGTCAGTCACACCCATGACTGACCTGGGCGGCGGCGCACCGCTCCCGGTAAGACCCGGGCAGGGTGACAGTCAGACCCCGTGACTGACCTGGGCGGCGGCGTAACCCTCCAGGATCAGGTCCCGCACGCTCAGTTCCAGTTTCTCGTACGACCCGGAGCGGCAGGCGGTCAGCAGCTGCTCCAGCACAGGCTCCGGCACCACCTGACGGCCGAGGCACCGCGTGACACACCGCTTTCCGTAATGATAACGACCGATGACGGTTTCTGCTGCGTGTCACTGCTCCGATCCTGAGTGCTTGAGGCGCTCACACCGGCCACGGCAGTGGTCCAGGACTCCCGATCATGACTTATGATCAGATAGATATTATGATATTGATATATAACACAGATAACATAATATAATATCTGTTATCATAGAGATAACATAACATAAATGTTATCACATGGGAGAGATAACATAAATGTTATCATAACTCTGCTCTGCTACAGTGCAAGAGTTCGATTAACCACACTATGCTTAGCGTGCCATGCTAATACTTGGTGATACTGAGGACAGGACGACAGTAAAACATACATAAACACGGTGTAATAAGAATGCACGGTAACGCTGCAATAAACGATGCGATCTATGTAAACGGTGATACATGGTAACGGCATCGGGGACCGTATGGTAACGGTATCGTAACGGCATCGGCAGCCCTGTGCGCTGTTCGTTCCAAGGCTTGCATGCCCTCCCGCTACAGGAGCCCCACCACCGGGCGGTGCTCAAGCCCGCGGCTGTTCACTGACGACACCACGCCCAGCTGATCTCCGTTAGCTATGGCCGCGGGGACCCATCATGGCCTCCGTACCTCGAGCTCCCACCCGGGCCCGGTACTTGTTATGCTCACTGGACTCCTGGCTGCAGGTTATCTCGATGCTTCAGGCTTGCTCTGACAGCCACATCCCTATCCAGCGAAATATGTACAACCCTGAGATACCTTCAATAATCTCGCGATGTCGCGATACCGCTCCCGTTATTGTTGTTATAATGATAATGATGATGATGTTGAAGAATGACGTTGATGATTGCATCAATGATGGTGACGTTGGTGAGGATGACGTTGATGATGTCATACCGTTTCCGTGGCCCCACGCCCATTCCTCCGACCCCACGTCGCCCTGGTGACCCCCTGATCACCCTCTTGACCCTCCACCGTACCCCCATGACCTGGCACTCACCCCCATGACCTCTCGGACGTCCGCAGCTGTAAGCCCGCCGGCCGGCCGCAGTCGCGCCGCGGACTGCAGCGTGGTGATGGCCTTGCGCAGGTCGCCGTCAGATGTCTCCACCAGCGTCGCCAGGCAGTCGGTGTCGCACTGCACGCTCTCGGCCGTGCAAATGTCCTGCAGCCGCTGCACCAGGATCTCGCGCGCTGCCGGCGCGCCAGGGCGGGACAGGCGGTCATGTGTCGCGCACACGGGACGGGGCGTGCCGAGCCACGTGATGTGCGCACTTGATCGGGCATGATGCCACGTGACATGGACACAGGTCGGTCCCTGAGGTCGCCTGTTTGTCAGCACGCGGTGGCACAACGACTCACATCCAGTGCGCACACGGCGGTACACGGCGCCGCCGCGTGCAGCTCACAAACAGCAACACACACAGGCAAGCGCATGTCAAGCACAGCGAACGGAGGACTCGCTGCCTACGCTGCCCGGGATGGGTAGCAGTCACAGCCGGGCCGAGGCGAGGCTCGCCACTCACAGAGGGGTTTGAAGCGGAATTTGGCGCAGCGCGAGGTGAGCGGGTCGATGATGCGTGACACGTAGTTGCAGATGAGGCAGAAGCGGGTGGTGCGCGTCTCGCGCTCCATGGTGCGCCGCAGCGCCGCCTGCGCCGCGGACGTCATCGAGTCGGCCTCGTCCAGAATCACCATCTGGCGGCGAGACGGCAGATGGTCATTTATCATAATGGCGATGCGTCAGGTGCCGGACCAGTGACGTCATTGGGTCCAATGTCACAACATGATGATGCTAAGTGGAGTCAGGGCTGGATGAATGAGTCACTGGTTCACCTGATGATGTCACACAACAAAAGGAAGCTGACAGGAATGGCATGGCTTAGAAGAGCAATTGAGCACAAATCTCAATCATACAGCAATAATGTCATTACACTGAAACAATGCTGGTGAAAGCATGGGAATGAAGTCCTTGAAAATAATGGGCAACAGCAACTGCCCAAACAGGCTGTTCTTTTACCTGCATATCAAAAGATTAAAGACAGCAGGAGAATATAGTCTGCTTATTGTTTGCACTGCAAATATGAACATTCTGTAACCCATATCAAATGCACCTATTAGTAATGCACATACACAAATGGGCAAAGCATGTGTCTGCCTTAAAGTAAAGTAAAACCTATGTTTTATCCATTAAAAATACACATTTGGGTGACGTAGAGAGCATCTTTGCATATAAATAATGCACACCTCATATTAAATGTTTTGTGTAGGGTAGCCACTATATATTAAACCATGTTACGCATGAACCAAGCCCCTACACTCTACTTTCAACCATATGTTGAGACCAAATTCAGGTCCCACTAAAATTAGGAGCACACTACTGTTTAGTAGGGGCTTTGAGGCACTGTGACCAATATGTCATATTGTGCCACAAAATATGCATAAGTTGTAAAAATATTCTAAATGGTGGCATAAATGCAAAATAACTGACACATATCTCATTCAAAGCATGATGTGTGCAATAAAGGAAAACAGGCCGGTCACAGCGCGCACCAACCTTGTAGGCGGGGCAGGCGCGCCCGTCAGTTCGGCAGGAGGGCACTGCCTGCTGCGAGAAGCCCTTGACCTTCTCACGGACCACGGCGATGCCGCGCTCGTCTGAGGCGTTCAGCTCCAGCACCCTGGCGGCGACCGCGGGAAACACTAATGCGTGGCATCGACACTGCTAGGCTATGTAGTGCCGTAGCCGCCGAGGCCGGAAAACATCTGCACACAATCTCTTCACAACTCACCGCGCAATGTACCATGGTGGTCTCCTTGTAACAACTCAAATGCATACATCTGTGCTGCTTATCAGTGAAATAATCTCTATCGGGATTCACTGAAGGCATGCGACACTCAGGGGCGACATCATTGACACCGTCACACGCTCAACACCAGTAGCAGTCCACCTGACCACGATGTCCACGTGCCAGTTGCACCAGCATACCTCTGCTTCATGTCCGATCCGAACAGCTCCCGGCAGGCGGCCAGGATGGTGGACGTCTTGCCCGTGCCCGGAGGCCCGTAAAACAGCAGGTTCGGCAGCTGAAAAGCGTAATCCCCCGTCGGCACAAGCGGACAGGTTCAACACCTGTCAGCTGTGGCTCACACGCTATGGCACTCACCAAATGACATGCCTTTATGGATTCACACTGATTTATCTAAATTGGTGTTCAACAGTTAATAACCTGTAAGGGTTGCCACTCCAAGGCAAGGGGTCAGGTTAGTGACAGATAAACATGATGAACATTGGACCCAACACACTACTCTCCACAGAAAAGCTTCAATTGAAAGGCTGCCCCTGCCCACAGTCATGCCTTGTATCTTTCAAGTGCTGTCCCAAAGCATGACTGAAATGATATGACAAAAACAAATTTTTAAAAGCAATGTGCATGAAGTCAAGCATATTTGAAGATTGGATGGTAGGGGTCAGGGCTCACATAACAATTGCTTAGCATGAGCTCTGATCACAGAAATTTATCCATTCAACAGATTTGGGCCAAATCCTTCGAAATGTTAAGATACACTGCACTGATTATAATTATGTGTAACAGATCTCCAAACCATCTACCCAAATAAAGCAAGATCCAAAATTCCTCTATAATGGTACATAATTAGCTTACGAGTGCCAACTACACAAACATTTAGCAGATAAGTGTAACTTACGTCAGCGCCCTGCATACACTTCTTCAACATCATCACAACTTCATCCTGGAAAGCAACATCATCTACAGTCTTGGGCCGGCTGAAATCAGGAAAGGAACGTCATCATCCAGATTTCTTTGATCATGCTCTGATAAAACAGATGCCATCAAAGGCCTGCGTGGTAGAAACCTGACCATGGTTTTGATTACAAAAGTACACCAATACTTAGCAGCCTCTGATTCAGAATGGCAACAGCTTTAACTTTCACAGCATGAGTTTTGGACCATTCCTGGACATGACCCTAACCTCCCTTAACTTTGTAACACAAAATCAATCACAGGAAACAGCCAGGGTATACATTCCTACCTCATGTTAAAAAAGAGCATTGTGCATCAATCGTCATTTTTAACACAGAACATATAGAAATAAATCGTAAAATGGGTCAACCAAGCTCTTACCTTGGAACTTAAATAACTACAATAGAAAACATCCGAGCGCAAACACGTAGCAACCACGACCCGGGCGCCATTTCTACCAGTGATTGCAACATTACTGCGTGATCACATCATTACTGCGCATCCAGAACCATAAAAATGTATGAGGCCGAGGTAACAAGAATTCAATAAAATGTGCTTCTTGCATATCCAAGCGGTCTTCTGTATTGTTTGTAGATTGGTCAACATGGTGGGGAAATATGATATTTTTGTGTGGGAACAAAAAGCAAAATGAGAATATGGCGGCTAAACAAAACTTCTTGGCGCAGTAAATATATATGGCACGGAACATGGGTGCCAATCGAACACTGGGTTGAAGGGGATAGGGTGGGGGTTTGTTAGGTTAGGTTAGGTTAGGTTAGGTTAGGTTAGGTTAGGTTGGTTAGGTTGTTAGGCTAGGCTAGGCTAGGCTAGGCTAGGCTGGGCTAAGTTATGTTTTGTTATATTAGGTTAGGCTAGGCTGGTTTAGTTTAGGCTACGTTCTGGACTATTCTGGCCTGTCCATTTCATAAATGTACCACCTAGACACGATAAGAAACATTTTTCATCACATTATTATCGTTAACTTGGTCCCGTAATTTTTTATGCTCCTCGATAAGCAGAAATATTGTAATTAGGCAACGGCAACACAGAAACGGTGCTGGGGAGTCGAGGAAGTGGGTGCGTGCAGAGCTCGGGAGCTTGCTACCGTAAATATTAAAATTTGAAGGTAGGAACATGAATCTACCTGTTTTAACATTATTTATGATATGTTCTGCCTGAAACATGACAAATGGTGTACAATGATTTTGTCTAATGTTAGGTAGGAATGTGTACCTACACCCAGGAAACTGAAGCCTTGAAACTGATCGCAGCTTGTGCATGATGGAATGAAATGTTACCACATATGGAGTGTTGACATACTATTTCTCCACCCAGGGCTGCGGCACCTTCCTCTTCTTCTCCTTGCCAGAAGGAGCAGCACTGACAGCCGGCTCACCCTGGCCCAGCTTGCCAGTCTTCAAGAAGGCCTCCATCACGACCAGATCTAAAAACAGGCACACAGCTGAATTATCACATTCCAGATGTTGAGATTGAAGACAATGTGGGTTGAAAGCCACACCCTCAGAGGTACCAAACAGGGATGGGATGCTGAATGATGTAATGTTGAATCTGCCACAATGCAACAAAACCAGACAGAATTACAAACATTCCGCTCTGTACAGCTACACACCTTCTAGACTTGATAATTCCGCAAACAAGAGGTGCAAAAAGCACATCACAGCATCTCTAACTGTAATCCTTTCTTGTCCTGGTTTTGATGGCCTTCCCACTCAATTCACTACTGGATAACTCCCAGGTAATCATGACTGCAGACCGGTTAGTGAGCTTACCTATCTCTAGCAGCCTTCGAAACCGTGAACAGCAACGAATATGAGACCCGAACTGAGGATCTACGACCCCGAACAACCACGGCCACGGAGACCCCAGGAGATCCCCGCAACTTGCTTGCCCGCAACGTTACCTTGGGACCTCGCTTACAATTGTTTGTTGCCCATCTGCGCATTGTATACGACGACGAATGTTGGAAACTGGCGCCATGGAGAAATTTGAATGTCAATAGATGTAGAATTTGTACGGCATTTCACCTGTTAAACGTGAGAAGAATTCTCATGGTATTGAGGTAGCACAGATTAGAGGTGAGATTACAAAGGTTTCGAGAAGGTATTTTTATCCTGGTTTGTACAGAATGGGGACAGTTTCCACAAAAACTAGTGGGAGTGTTTCCTTAGCATGGTTTAATTTAGTTAACTGTGTACAGTGATTTATTTTAGCGCTTCAATAGCGTTATCGCCTTCCAAGTTTCTCTATTGCATCATCATCCTTTTCCGGTGGACTTTGAGGTCGGTCGCGATCAGCTGTGTGTGTTGAGTGTTGACCAGCGTGTGTCAAGCACTTTGTTCATTCTAAGTATTCCATTTCTATTTACTTATAACTTTGGAGCTGCTTTTTTATGTTAGCGACTGGCTCAAATAGCAGGTACAGGTCTTAGCCTCGTCTTGCGGTGCCCGTCGCGACGCTCAGCACTCAGCCGGCTGTTGCGTTAATTAAACAGCTCCGGCTGCTTTTCCTCTTGGAAGTGGAGAACGTAATCTTGCTATCCTCGTTTTTGAAGTATATGTTATTTTTATATTTTTATGATGTGCTCCAAGATGACCACGATTCCTTACTTGTGTGTATGGAAGACATCGGCCGTCGGCATATGTTGTGTTAAGAGTCATAATTGTGATCCATTCTTTGCAATAAGAATGTTGAACATGCTGACTTTTACAGTGTATTCTGTGGATTTCATATTCCAATAAGAAAGAATCACTCAATCAAGACCTGCACTGTCAGTAAATGTTCCTTTTAGTCTCAGTTTTCAAGAAGAAAGATCAACTGGTTGCTATTGGGGCTTTACAATGCTTTCCCCTTCTGAGGCTATATGGCGCCACCTGCCTCTCAACAGGAAGGGCAGGCACTGCGGGGGATCAAACCCCGTACCTCAGGTTTTCTATACACATGGTGGTTAATCACAATTATAGTTTCCCAGCAGAATAATTAGTTAAATTTTCTCCCATGCCAAGCTGCTTCACTCATCTGTGAAGTTTCATTTCCTCAATGATATAGTGAATTTTTGAATTTCATCATGTGTGTTTTGAAGATCTAAATAAATATCTTTCCACACCACACCACACAGAAATGTGATGTGTATTTTAGGGTCCAAACAATTTTATAGTCAGTTCAAAATGACATCCAGTTTGTTGATGGCATCCTGTCTTTTCCATACAAAATATGGTTAATGTTTTGACTTCACTTAAAGCTTCTAAAGCATAGTCAATTATTCATGTTTATTAAACATTAGTATTAGTTATGTGCAGAAGCACCAGCAGGTAATTTGTGTTTCCTTGCAGTGCTGATTTCTTCTGAAATGTCTCAAGATGTATGAAATAATAATTAAAATGTCTCAATATGCACAAACAGCCTGCTCTCCAAATTTGGCGTACTTTTTAAAGTTGGGGATCTGAAACCCCCAACTGAATGGGTCACAAAGCAATGCACTTCCCTGACCTCAGGCTATATGCCATCACTAAGGTATAAGATGGAAATCGGTCTGTTTTCCAAAGGTTTGCAGGCTTCCAAGGCCACCTGTTGCTCCAATCTTTGTTTCTCTGATCTGATCTTCTGATCTGATCTTTTACTCAGATCTTGTTACTCTGATCTTTTGAGATTGCATTGTGTGTGACCCAGGAGTTCTTCTGGTGGATGGAGAGAATGCCTTCAGTTGGGCTGATTGACCCTTGTTGAGGCTGGTGCCAGTCCTAGGGCCCAAGGTCACTGACATTGTCAAGGTCACAAGGTCATTGAGCAGTGTATGACTGCTGAGGCATGCCCTGGGAGTCTGGTTGGCTGTGACTGTGCCCCATCTGGCTGGCAGCTAGAGCAGCTGTGTCAGCTGTCTGATGGCTAGTGTAGTCTCTGACATGGCTTCTTTTGTTGTCCACCCCCAATCCATTAGATGTCATTTGTATGTTGTTTGGCTTGTATATTAGCCATGCAGAATAGAATGATCATTGCTGATGCATATCTTTGCTGCAAGGATTGAGTTTTCTTCTTATCACATTGATCATGGTTAAGCTTTTCTGACCATTGAAAACATTGCTGACAGTCCTGGATTTTTTGACATCTCAAGTCATTTTTGGGCTGAGGTGTGTTTTTCAATGCACCTGTTTGCTCCCATAGGTTTTGGACATGTACAGTGACCTGGCAAGCTACCATCTCACATCACAGGAGGCCTCATTTGCTGGCTGTCATTTTGTGGATGAAGCAGTTTGAACTTGACACCCCATCTGAGTGACTTCACACTCATCGCATATTTGCCTCCTACCAATGATTGCCGTTCTATGCCGTGGGCTGAGCAGGCATATGTTGTTTGCACAGCTGGTCGAATATTTTGCCGCCGACGGTACGCCTTGTGCCAGGGGCGCCACCTGTTCGGCGCGGCCATCGTCCTCTGACAGCGCGCTTCGTCCGGCAGAGCCCGTTGAGCGCGCGTCCGTCGCGGGCGGCCGCCGCCAGTCACGCTGCCGTCCGACGCCGCCCCCCGCCGCCCCCGTGTCTGCAGCAGACACGCGCCATGGGTAAGCCGAAGAAGGGCAAGAAGAAGGAGGAGTCGGAGGAGGACGAGCCTTCCGTCCTGACGCTCGAGGACGAGCCCGAGCCGCAGGAGGCCGTGAAGAAGCCGAAGCGGAAGGAGAAGAAGAAGAAGAAGGCGGCCGTGGCCGAGTCGGACGACGACGACCCGATGGAGGAGGAGGGCGGCGGCGGCGAGGCGTCGCCGTCGCCCCCGCCGCCGGCGCGGCCCAAGATGTCTGGGTTCGCTGCGCTGATGATGGACGACTCGGAGGAGGAGGAGGAGCGGCCGGCGCGGCGCCAGCAGTCTGGCTTCGCCTCCCTGATGGCCGAGAGCGGCGAGGACGAGGCGCCCGACTCGGAGCAGGAGGAGCGCGTCGTCGTCAAGAAGAAGGAGAAGAAGAAAGAGAAGAAGGGCAAGGAGAAGAAGAAAAAGAAAAAGGACGAGGGGCTGGACGACGACCTGGAGAAAATGCTGTCGGAGCTGCAGATGGAGTACACGGGGGACCAGCCGATGGAGACGATCACCGCGAAGCCCGCCGAGAGGGAGACGTCTGTGGAGGAGACGCCGGCGGTGGACGCCGAGAAGAACGAGCGCGTCACGGAGAGCGTGGAGAAAGAGGACGAAGGGGAGGATGACGACGAGGGTGGCACCGTCAAGACAAAGGCGCAAAAGCGCAAGGAGAAGAAGGAGAGGGAGCGCTTGAAGAAAATCGAGCAGAACAAGAAGGGTGGCAAAAAACAAACCGAAGAGCCCCAAAGAGCCTGAAGATCAGGAGGAAAAAGCTGGTGATGTTAATGGCGAGGCCGTGTCAAAGCCGAAGGAGGTGAAAGTAGAACAGGATGGCGAAGAAAAAACCATCGGCCGCGAAGAAGAAAAGAAGAAGGCGGCCGAAAAAGCGCCGGAGCCTGAGCCTGAGGAGCCGTCCAAGAAGAAAAAAGGTCCCGGCAAGAAGCTGGTGGCCGCGATGCAGGAGGCGCTGCGGCTGCAGCAGGAGGCAGAGGAGAAGGCTAAACAAGAGGAGGAGGACCGCATCCGACGCGAAGAGGAGGAGGAGCGTCGCAAGGAAGAGCAGGAGCGGCTGGAAAAGGAGCAGAAGGAGCTGAAGAAGAAGCAGGCAAAGGAGCGCAAGGAGCAGCTCAAGGCCGAAGGTAAGCTGCTGACGCCGAAGCAGCGGCAGAACATGGCGCGCGCGCAGGCGCTACTCGACGCGATGAAGCAGCAGACGGCGGCCGCGGGGGCCGAGAAGAAGCCACGTCCAAGTCTCAAGGATCGCCGGCAAAAGAAAAATAAGCAGGCGTCGCCGGAGGCGGAGGTGCCACCGACACCGGAGGTCATCACACCGGAGGTGACGACGCCGGCGAAGCCACCGCCCGCAGAGCCGGACGCGGGGCTGAAGGACAGCTGGGAGGAAGAGGAGGACGGTGGGTTGAAGGACTCGTGGGATCAGGCGAGCGAAGACGAAGCGCCGGCGGAACCGGAACCGGCACCGGCGCCGGCACCTGCCGCCGCGCCTGCCGCCGCGCCGCCGCCGCCGGCGACGACCGCGAAGCCGGCCGAATCCGAAGACGAGTCAGTCGACGACGACGACGAAGACGAGGAGGAGAGCGGCAGCGACGACGACAGCGAGAGCGAGGAAAGCGACGACGACCGCACCGAGGCCGAGAAGCGGCGCGACCGCGCGCTGAAGCGCATCCAGGAGCGGCGCGACGCGGCGCGCGCGCAGATGTCGGCCGACAACCTGCGCGCGCCCGTCATCTGCGTGCTGGGGCACGTGGACACGGGCAAGACGAAGATCCTGGACAAGCTGCGCCGCACGAACGTGCAGGAGGGCGAGGCCGGCGGCATCACGCAGCAGATCGGCGCCACCAACGTGCCGCTGCGCGCCATCGAGGAGCAGCAGCGCTTCGTCAAGAAGCACAAGGTGGCCGAGCTGAAGATCCCCGGTCTGCTCATCATCGACACGCCTGGCCACGAGTCCTTCAGCAACCTGCGCTCGCGCGGCTCGTCTCTGTGCGACCTGGCCATCCTGGTGATCGACATCATGCACGGCCTGGAGCCGCAGACGATCGAGTCGATCAACCTGCTGAAGTCGAAGCGGACGCCCTTCCTGGTGGCGCTCAACAAGATCGACCGACTGTACGACTGGGAGACGGGCAAGGCGAAGGACGTGGAGGACGTGGTGAAGGCGCAGGCGCGCAACACGCAGATGGAGTTCGAGCAGCGCACGCGCGAGACGATCGTGCAGCTGGCCGAGCAGGGCCTCAACGCCAAGCTCTTCTACGAGAACGACAACCCGCGCGAGTACCTGTCGCTCGTGCCGACCAGCGCCATCACCGGCGAGGGCATGGGCAACCTGATGGCGCTGGTGGTGATGATGACGCAGAACATGCTGACCAAGCGGCTGATGTACTCAGACGAGCTGCAGGCCACCGTGCTGGAGGTGAAGCAGATCCCAGGGC